TATCCAGATGAAATTTTGCACAAATCATTTGATTGGACCCAAGGACGAACTCTATTGAAATTGGAGATAATCGGTCAAAATTTAGATATAGCTCCCATATATATCTTCGTCCGATTTGCTTTTTATTGTGCACCAAACGTGTAATATCAGCCCGAATAGTATGAAATTTTGCACATACAACCAAATTAGGCTTGAAAATAAGTACGCCAAATTTTATCGAAATCGGTTCAGATATAGCCATAACTCCCATATATATTGTTCATCCGATTTGTTATTTTTGTCCTCCGCAGCCGTAATATGCAACAACAATATTTGGGAAATATATAAAATAGAACTCAGAAATTCATTTGCTAAATTTTATCGAGATCGGTTCAGATTTGGATATAGCTCCCATATATAACTTCGTCCGATTTACCTTTTATTGTGCACCAAACGTCTAATATTTGTCCAAATGGGATGGAATTTGGCACTTTCGAATTGAGTCTAGAAGCTAGTATGTCAAAATGGGCAATACAAGTCCGAATTTAAAAGATACAAATGCTTCGGCATATTTAGTCCTGTATGATTTAATTCTCCCATAAAATATTTTAATTGTTATGTGGAGCTCTACAAAATTAGCAAAGTGGTGCAGGGTATCATAAAGTCAGTCCCGCCCCACTTTAGGACTTTCTTTACTGGTCTCTTCTATTATTATGTCGCCCTTGTTCTATAAAGCCTCCTCTTGAACAAAATCCAAACTCATCCACTGTGATTACCAATCAGCTAACCAACGAATAAATAAATGCGAATATGCATTAACATGGAGCATTACATTTGTATGTACATATGTATCTACAAATGAATATAGATAAATATTATGTATTGACAGGTGGGTATACCCATTTCAAACACATTCGTACACACACACACTCACACTATCAAAATACATACATTTGTAGATAGATAAATCAATTAACTAACATTCAATTGCGTATTCTCGCACTAAACTTGCGCTACATTAAACAAAACTAGGCAACATTGCCAGCTCGATAAGTGACTAGTCAGTCACCAGTGGCTGTCTACCTAGGCGGCGGTTGGCTTTCTGACTGGTTGGCTCTCTGGCTGACAAGTTTAACTGTTGTCTAGACTCTGGCCGACAAAATTGACAACAATGTCGCTGGTTTTTTTGTTTTGTTTTTGGGAACACAATTTGTTAACAAGATTCTTGTTAAGCGCCAACAAACGCCAACGTTGGCAGCGACAGTAGCTGTAACAGCAGCGGAGAACAGCAACAGTTTGTCTGTTTGCTAATACAAATTGGCGGTTTTTTTTTCTGAGAGACAAACCGTTTTGTTGTTCTCCCCTGTTGGCAAATTGGTGTTTGGTAGTTGTGTCGGTATCAGGCAGCCTGCGGCCATCAAAGCTCAGTTTGACAAATAATCTCATCGATATGGTAATACACATTTTTCCGGCGAACTTCCTAGGAGGTGGACTATTTTTGGGGGAATGAATAAAACGTATCCATCCATTCCTTAAAAATTGTCATTACATAGGAAGTTCGCAGAAAAATACGTTAACAGCTAACCTTTCCAGTGAATTGAAGTAGGTGGATACAAATTTGCATAATTGCATGGGTATTGGATTTAAATAGGACATGTTTTTTCCTCGTACAATGATATCATCGAACTTGACATATTTTGGCGGCGTTTTAGGCATTTCTCGATTATTTTACAGGCTCTCTATACACCGAAATATAATTCAAGATACTACAAAAATTAGTTACAAGTGGAGAAATTGAATCTTAAGGATGCCACTTACATTTGGTTGATGATTAACTAAGTTGGACATACCACAGAGGAGAAAGTCTCTAGCCCCGGCCGAAAGCCTCCTACTAACATGTTCGAATTTTTAAGGGTTTTTCAAAAAGTTCCGATACACAAATACCAATATCCTTCTATTGCTTCAGAACCGGTTCAAACAATACCTATACTCATTTTGTGCACATCCCTTTTGTAGAACCAGATAAAATCCGGATTTTGTATCTAAACTTACGGGACGAATAACCGATTAACCGGATATTTCCCCATTGAAATCGGACGTAATCCCCACTTTATTATGGGGATTATGACAAAATATGACAGCAGTCTGAAGTTGGTTGCAGTTTTTATACCCTCCACAATACATAGTATTTCGTCATTCCGTTTGTAACTTATCGAAATAATCATTTTAGACATAACATATTCTTGATTAGCTTAAAATTCTAAGGCGATTTAGCCCTGTCCGTCCATCTGTCCGTCTGTTGTAATCACGCTAGAGTCAAAACAAATAAAGATAGGGAGCTGAAATTTTGCACAGATCAGTGTTTTGTCTGCAGGCAGGCCAAGTTCGAAGATGGGCTATATCGGTCCACGATATCGTATAGCCCCCATAAAACGGTACCACCCGATGTTCGGTATTTTGATGATTTTAGCCACATTTTTCCGATGGAAATGTCTGAAAATCCACACAAGGAGTTCTTTCTGAGTACTTTACCCTCTGGAAGAGAATTGTTTATATAGGTCCACAAGATCGTATATCCCATATACATCGGTACCCCCCGATATTCCGTATTTTGATCATTTGAGCCATATTTTTAAATGAAATTGTCTGAAAATCTACATACGAATTTCCTTCTGAGTACTTCATCCCCAAGCAGATTATTGTCTAAATGGGTCCACGATATCGTATGTCCACAATATTCGGTATTTTGATGATTTTAGCAACATTTTTCAATGGAATTGTCTAAAAATCCTTATTAGAAGTTATTTCCAAGTACATTACTCCCTGGAAGAGAAATATCTATATGGGTTCAAGATATCGTATAGACCACATACAACGGTATCCCTCAATATTAGATATTTGGCGACTCTAGGGACGTTTTTCGCCGGAGTTGTTTAAAATTGCGTGCCTGGAATTCGTAATGGGTACTATAGCCAATGACAAAAAATTGTTTATCCAGGCCTACGTCTTCGTATAGCATCCATATAATGGTACAACCCAATATTCGGTATTTTGATGATTTTACCGACCTCTTCCATCGGAGTTGTTTTTAAATTTCATATTTAGAGTTTGTAATGGAAAGTACAGTCGATGACACAAAATTGTCTATGCAGGTCCAGGCCTCAGGCCTTCATTCGGTATTTTGATTATCTTAGCGACATTATTCACGGATTTTTTCAAGTTTCGTATAGACCCCAATATAACGGCTATATTCGGTATTTTTTAAATTTTAACAGAATTTTTGGCGAATGTTATTTTCTTTAATTTCCAAATTCGTTACAAATGGTGCAGGTTATTCAAAATCCGGCGACGCCAAGGAAGTGGACGAAAGAAAACAGCAACAGGAATAAAGCCATTGAACTTCCAAAAAGTGCAAGAACTTACACCGCAACAGAAAGAAATAGACTCAAAAGAGCTTCTCTTGGCCGAAAGTGGTAAACTGCCGAATTTGAACTCAAGCGTCGGCCATGGTGATGGTGTGGGCCGACATAACAGCTAATGGTCGCTCTCCGCTCGTATTAATCGACCGTGGCATCAGAATAAATGCCGAATATTATCGCGAAAATATTCTGGAGGGTGTATTAAAGCCTTGGGCATGTAAACATTTTGGCCGCAGACCTTGGAAAGCAAGGTTGGCACTAAAAAAATACCAAAGTGTCGATCACTTCAAGCAAGCGCTTCGTCGGGAATGGGCCAAAATACCGCAGAGCAAAATTCGGGCAGAGTGTGACGGTTTCATTGGCCGTTTGAAGGCCATAATTCGTGACCAATTCGAACAAATTTTTGCATTCATTCAATAAAATTTAAAAAAAGGTAAAGATTATGGAGTTTGACTTTGTTGTAGTTGTTTCATCTCATCCTGTATATTTGGACATACGCCAAAGCGTTGCCAATATCAAAACGTTGCCATAATAGAAAATAGACCTCATTGAAAAATATCCTCTAAAAGTCTTATATGCTACATTATAGCTAATTTAGTTAGAAAATCCTTCTAAAATCTTCGAAAAGCAACATCAGTACTTTTAGGTCGTAGGTGTTATAAGTTCCTAGACAGATGTTCAGTAGAAGCGTCTATAATTCCATATTTTAAAATTTCCAGTTTTTTGGAATAGTGTCATTATATAATGTTAACCTACAATGATAAGTATGTCAAAAATTCCTGGTCTCTATCGACAATTTTTACAAATTTCGACCCTTTTTTGTGTAACGTTAACATGAAATGTCAGGGGTTTGAAACCCATCTATTTTCCTATAGTTTTCCAATTCCTAATTTTCCTAATTCCTAATTTCTGTGAAATTTACTAAGAAACGATAACATTTCCATGCTCCATTTTGGCTATCTTCTGTTCTTTTTGTCTCTTCTTATATAAGTGATTTACATATTTTCCATTTTCTAGATATGCTTCAAAACAAGCTGTTGCACTGTTCGATGGAAGCAGCAGCACTACTATTTTTATTTACCTCCAGTCAATGTCAAGATAAAATAAATATACGAATTTTTTTTTGAATATGATTAGGTTAATGGAGGGAACTTCATCATTGGCGGCATTGTCAGCGACATTATTAGCATATGGAGGCGTCATTATTGTCATCATCATCATCATCTTTATCATCAGCCTTATCAGTGACTGTGAATGAGAAATGAGCAATAGAGCAGAGACAAGCCAGTAATTCAAAATGATTCCATAATCAGAATGGTGAAGGGAGAGAGAGAGGGAGAGAGCGTGAGTTGCTATGGAGGCTGGTGGAGGCGACAAGTTGTGTTACAGCTGTTGCTGTTGCTCAGACTAAGAGTCTGAGAATAATACTGATGATGATAATGGTGTTCATGATAATAATGATGATGATAATGGAGCAGTGCCATTGGTGTATTTGCTAATGTTGCTAAGGATGTTGATTTTTGTTGCCAGCGGCACTGTTGCTGAATGTTTTGGCGCACTCACCGTGTTACGTTTGATGAGATGAAACCAAACAACCAAACCAACATCAGCCCCCAACCAAACATCCAGTACCACCACCCTCTGAGCACAGTAAACAAACCCGAGAACAGCGAAACAGCTCCAAATGCGTTGCGTCCAACCTGCCAGCCCAGCCAGCCAGCCGCAACAATTCATTGCTTCAGTCATTGTAGCAGCCAGCCAGCCAGTCAGTCATAACCGTAGTCTCAAACAGGAAGGCAACCGTACCGGCGGTTTTCATTTTGGCATAGCTCCAAAACGACAACGACGACAACGAAGACGACGAATTTTTGTTTTATTTTTTAAAACAAAATAACTAAAAAAAAGAAGTAAAGAAAAAATATTAAATCAAAACAAGCATCCAAAAGTTTGTCCATTTTGAATAAATATTCGAGGCGTGTTTTTGTTTTTATTTAAGTTGTTGTTTTATTTGTTTTCAAAAATATATTTGTTGTTGTTTCTACGAGATTTTTCTCTCGTGTTTTGTGTCGAAAAAATGGTGTTGGTGTTTTTTTGATGTTGAAAAAAATAATCGACAAAATTTATTGAAGGTGGTTTAATTTGTTTATAAATACAAATGTGATGCGACACGACGCGACAACAACAACAAACAAGATCAACAACCAAAAAATAATAAATAATTAAGTTCAAATACAAAAAAAAGCAAAATATAGAAGCAAGAATTCAATACAGTGACCCAAAATTGGAATTCTCGCCTTGCAACGTTGTTGCAATTACTTGGCAATAATTGACAGCAACAACAACAAAAAAACGGTGTTGGCGTAGCGCGATTTGTTTTACGGTAGCCACAGACATAATTGTCATCGTCAAACGTCGTGTAAATTTGTAAAACAAAATCCATAAAATTATTAACGTTTCAGTTTCAGTTGAAAACTGAAACTTGAATTTCGTTGCAATTACAAACAGCAACAACAACAATAATTCAAGCAGCAACAACAGCGACAATACGAGGATAAGTTATTCTAAAAAAGGTATTACAAAAAGTGTGAAATAGTTGTGCTCAAAAAAACCAAAAACAAAAAAGTATGAATCTGAATCTAATTAACCAAATTGTGCCATTCATTTTATCTGACAACGACAGAAAAAATAAGATAAAGCAAATTAAATTTTTGAGGCAGCAACAACAACAAAAAATCATTTAATCTCTATTGATATTTATTATAAAATGAGATGAAGAAAAAAAACAACTACAAACAAAAGAAAATGTTAGAATAAATTAAAAAATGGCAATAAAGAAAAATGTGAATTGAAAACAAAACAAAAAAAAAAGTTAAAAAAAAAAAATAAAAATCTGAGTGAAGGGCTTTGCCATACGTTGTGAATTTTAAAACTGATAAGAGTATTGGAAACTGTGGATTGTCATTGAATCACATCTATATAAAAATAATAATCAGATTACGGATATAATGCGACGGAGTATTTTCATTATGGTAACATTAAAAAAGACAGGACATTTCCCTTGCTTTGCATGCAATTTATTCTCAGGGACAAAAACTCTGCCGCAAGGAAAATTGAATTAAAATCAAGTTGTTAAAAAATGTGACGAAATTAAAATACCTCAAATTTGGAGTTTTCATTGTGCGAATATGTCCAACCCTTTATTAATATAGAAAAAATTCAGTTTAATAGTAGAATTTTAAGAATTGCGATCTGCCCAATTGCCGATCAATGCATAGTTCTATGGCAAGGTGCGGCAAAAATGTTCCTATACAAATGATCGTACTGATTTATATAGAGAAGTTTCGTAATGAGTGAAAAAATAACATCCCAGACAAAAAACAAGGGAACTGATGAGGATTGGTGGCTCTTTCCGAAACCTAGGTTTTCCCTGCCTTACCCCCTGGTAAACATTACCATCGTTCTCCACTAATAAACAAACGTTGTTTTTATAAAAACAACAATAAAGGGATAAGCCTGACCATTTTGCAACAACAAAATACTACGGTATCCCGAACAAACAAGCCACACTGTTCCAACATAAAAATGCTGAAGATAGGCCCATGTTAGGCAAAGTGCCGATATAGTGGTAAATTTGAAAAACTTCCAAAAAGCAACTAAAAAAGCAGTAAGTTCGGCCGGACCGGACTTTGAATACCCTCCACCATTTGGAACGAATTAGGAAATAAAAAAAATAAAATTCATTAAATATTCTGTTAAAATCTTAAAAATAACGAATATCGGAAGGTGCCTGTATATGGGGAATATACGATATAGTGGACCTATATAGACAATTTTATTTCTGGGTGTAAAGAACTCCTTTTGTGTAATTTCAGACTATTCCATTAAAAAATGTGACTAAAATCATCAAAATACCGAATATCGGGAGGTACCGTTATATGGGGTCTATACGATAACGTGGACCTATAGAAATAATTCTCTTCCGGGGGATAAAGTACTAACAAGGAACTCCTTGTGTGGATTTTCCGACAATTCAGTTGGAAAATGTGGCTAAAATCAACAAAATACCGAATATCGGGAGATGCTGTTATGACATCGTGGACCTATATAGACAATTTTCTTTCAGGGGATGAAGTCCTCATAGAGAACTCGTTCTGTAGAATTTCAGACAATGTCATTGAAAAATGTGGTTAAAATCATCTAAATACAGAATATCGGGGGGTACTGTTATATGGGGGCCATTCGATACGTAGATCGATGTAGCCCATTTTCGAACTTGACCTGCCTGCACACAAAAGACTGATCTGTGCAAAATTTTAGCTTCTTATCTTAATTCGTTTTGACTCTAACGTGATTACAACAGACGGACGGATACGGCTAGAATTTTACGCTGATCAAGAATATATACTTTGTTGGATTTAAAATTATTGTTTCGATGAGTTACAAGCGGAATGACGAACTTAATATACCGTCCATACTACCATACTACTAGAGGTTATATTAAGTTTGTCATTCCCCTTGTACCATAAATCAATCTAAAGGTGCGGGTACATAAGCTACTTAAAGTCTTCCATTGCATATCTACTGTGACACATCATAAAGGGATGTCAGAGCCATGCTGTTTTTGTAGCCATATCTTAAGATCCCACAAAGTGTATATATTGTTGATCAGCATAAAATTATATGGCGATTTAGCCAAGTGCACCTATATGCCTGTCCGTCTGTGGAAATCACTCTATTTTCCGGACGGAATGAATTTGGCAATGAAATTTTAGTCCGATGTATTTTCTTGGTATTGAACATGTGCCATATTGGTACACGTTTTGATATAGCTCACATATTACGGCGTTGCCAGATTAAAGGTGTTTTAGAAATTGTTTCGAAGATAATTTACTCAAGTGGGGGCTTTTTTCCTATGTTTAGGGAACATTTTTGCAAAAAAAAAAAAACTGTCCATATTAGTTCACATTTTAGATATTCTGTATTTTGAAAATTTCAGAGACTTTGTTCCATGGAATTATTTTTATATTTACTTCGTCCGACAAAAAATTACCTATACAGGTTCATATTTTCATATAACCCCCTCAAAATTGATATTTGCGATGCTATGGCGATAAATGGCTATACAGGTCCACATTTTTGTTTAGCCCCATGTAACAGAACCAATCGTTATTTGCATTTTTTACCCTACACCACATAGTGGAAAGGGTATTATGTCTTTGTGCATTTGTTTGTAACATGGACAAGGAAGCGAGATGGACCCTTAGTTAGTTTTGAGATCTTCATAGAATCCTTTTCTGAGTCGATTTATGCATGTCAGTCCGTCCATGTACTTTTGTGAACAAAATGCAGTTCGCATTTATTATCCGATTGAGATGAAATTTTCCAAACAATTCCAAGGATGAACCCTATTGAAATTGGTGAAAATCTGTTCAAATTTAGATATAGCTCCCATATATACTATCTTTATCCGATTTCGGGTTAATTGTGAACCAAATGGCTTATATCAGTCCAAATGATCTGGATTTTGGCACATCTGAATGAATTGATCCTTGAAACAAGTACTTAAAATTAGGTAAAAATCGGTTAAGATATAGCTATAGCACCATATATATGTTTCATCCGATTTGGTGTTTAAATCCCTCAAATGCGTAATATACACTCCACAAGCATAATATCACCAGATATCAGATGCAGCTCAGAAATACCTCTGTCAGTTTTATGGAGATCGGATCAGATTTGGATGTAGCTCCCATATACATCTTCAAACGATATTATGTTAATTGTGCGCCAAATGGCCAATATCAATCCAAATGACTTGAATTTTTGGCACATCCTACCGAATTCAGTCTAGAAGCAAGTACATTAAATTTAATGAACATCGGTTCAGATATTACTATAGCTACCATATATATGTTTCATCCGACTTGGTATTTAAATCCCTCACATGCGTAATATGCACTCCACAAGAATAAAATCTGGTACCGGATATCATATACAGCCCAGAAATAGCTCTGTCAAATTTCATGGAGATCGGATCTTATTTTGACATGGATCCCGTATATCTTTATCCGATATGAGGTTTATTATGCACCAAATGGCTCCAAATTAATTGAATATTGGAAATTCCCACTGAAATCATGCTAGAAACAAGTACATAAAATTTGGTGAAAATCGGTTCGGATATAGCTATAGCTCCCATATATATTTCATGCGATTTGGGGTTTTTAGTCCCTCACATGCGTAATATACACTCCACATCAAAGATTTTTGTTACCGGACATCAGATACATCCCGAAAATAATTCTGCCAAATTTTATCCAGATCGGTTTAGATTTCTATATAGCTTCGATATACATTTCCATCCGATTTTACGGTTATTTTCCACCATATTTGTAATTGGATAAATTTTTTCCATTTGGTGAAACTTGGCCCCGAATGTCTATTGCTCCAATAAATATTGTTGAGTGTTATTTGGTACAGGAGGTACAAATACCTGTGTCAAATTTGTTGAAAATCGATTCAAAGTTGGATATAGTTCCAAACTGCTACTACTCTAAAGCCATTATACGTATTCAAATAAGGTTCATAGTTTTTTGTTGTGGGAGATTTACTATATGCGCATATTGGTGTAGTATATCATATTGTAGAATATTCAAAATGTACACATTTAAATTTGTGAATGTACAGGGTGAGATAAAAAAAACTGCAACAAAATCAAACGCCATAATTTTTACATTATTTTTTTAATTTTATTGAATGAAAGGGAAAAAGTGTTGGAAATAGCATCACATTTTAGAATAAGTTTAGATTTGTTCGAATTGGACATCTCTGGCACGAATTATGGCCTTCAAACGACCAATGAAACCGTCACACGCTCCCCGAATGTTGCTGTGTGGTATTTTAGCCCATTCCCGGCGAAGCGCTTGCTTGAGGTGATCGACACTTTGCACATTTTCAGCTGTCCTCTTTGACAAGTAAACACGATCATGTTGTTTGTTTACAAAACTGATGGACAACGAATGCTTTCTCATCGGAGAAAACTAAATTCGGCAGTTCACCACTTTCGGCAAAGCGAGGCAATTCCTTAGCTCTTTTGAGTCTTTCTTTCGCGGTGTAAGTTCTTGCACTTTTTGGAGTTTCAATGGCTTTACCCCGAGCTCATTTTTTCAATATTTGCCGAATGGAATATTGCGATATGTTCTGCTCACGACCCATTTATTGGCCACTGCGACGCGGGTTTTGATCAAGTCGCTTCTCTACTTATCGAACCATTTCCCAAAAGATTTATTCACATTTAAATGCTGGAGTGCTCTAACGATAGAAACTTGTGGCCAAATATAAAGAAATCACACTATCACGCTTGAATTCCATCACGAATAACTTTTTTCTGGAAAATGCTCACCAAAATGCTTGTGTACACTTGTAAACAATATAATGAGCTGTCACTGGAATAATTATAACAGCTGTCGGACGAGTGGCTTAGAAATGACAGCAATCTTAAGTTGGTTGCAGTTTTTTCATCTCACACTGTAAATGCAAGAAAAACTTTGTTTTTCAAAAATAAATCGAC